TTTCAAATATTATATTTCATTAAAAGCATTTACTGATTAGCATACTGTTCAATACTTGTCAGCGTATCTTTATAATCAGGTCGTCACGGAATTTTAGAAAAATACAATACTCTTTTATGCTTATGCGTATTGTTATTCATCGAGTTGGATTTCATTGTAGGAAAAAATTCAGCACTTGTCTTTATCCATACCTAACTACTTTTAATGCGACAGATCAAGTGTTTTCTTTCACGGCTAAACGTGACATTGCCACCCTCTCGTTCACGCTGCATTACAAGGACATTTTAAAGAGCTTTTTTGTCCTGATCTGAGGGGTGGGTATGATTGTTTTGCATAGTGTACGATCCTTTTCTATGGCATTTTGTAAATGTGTGTGTTAATGTCATGAATCTCCCCCTCATGTGTCAGAATGTAAAAACGAGCTATTTTTGACTCGAATGATTAAGGTACTGTTCGCGATATGGAGCTTGTGATGTATATCATCTTATGTCTGTAGTATCTATAGACGTCGCCATGCCGATAAATTTAATGTTCTTTAGATATAACTCTAAAAGCAGATGACTGCTTCATAGCTCAAAGTGTATCATGCAAGCTGGATGTACTACTTCTATTAATTTGTAGGAAAGGCACGTGCCATTGATCAAAGAAAACCATTTTCTATACATCTGTACATGTTGTGTACTATAAAAAAAACAACTTTTGGCTGTTGTCAGACCAAATTTCTTTTTCTTAAGAGTATAATTCAAATTTCTATTTTACTAGGCACTACGTGCAGAAAATACATAGAAGTCGTGCTAAAAAAAATTTGGCAAATTAGTCATACTGAAACAGTAGTTTTCCTACGAGTTTGAAAAGTCTCTGTTTGCGAACCGAGAGGTTAGCGGCCCGAGCCGAAGGCGAGGGACGTAACGAGGTTCGTAAAGGAGACTTTTCACTAGAACGTAAAGATCAGGTAAACCAAATAGCATTGCTGATCATTGGCTCTCTCTACAAATGTTTCTATTTTAATACCGAATTCTTAAAGACCTATTGAAATTAGATAAAATCTAATTTTCTCAGTTACTGTTATACCGATTTTAATAACAAATTGAGTTGGAAGTTTCACTTCTGCCGGGGGTCCCAAGACCCACACCTGGTTTTGTTTTTAATTTCTTATGGGTAATTTAAACTGGCTACCTCTTAAGGGGGCGATGGAATAATTCGTATGAAAAAAATCCTCTTTCGCCATATTCTAATTTTGATTTGCGATATTTTTTAAAATCACTGACTATCCAAAAACCATACCAGAATCGCTCTAAACTAGCTTCACCACTTGAAAATCTTGGTGATATCTTTTACCCCGTAAAAATCGAGATGAGTTTTTCCAAACGTACTCCATATCCGCGTGTCCAGTCGGACATTAATCATACGTCACGTTCACGTCTCGTCACACTCGATTACTCGAGCCAACTCGCGTCCTTTTAATTGCTTTGCATTCAGAAATAGCCGATCCGGTAATTAGAGATCACTCGCCAACAGTCGAAACATACACCATTCTTTTGCACAACAAGACGAGAGACGTGTCATTATCCCAACAACGGCTTGTCTTTGTTGCAGTGACGAGCTGTCCTTTTGCGAGATTTTCTCCACTTTTTTCCTTACCCTCAGCTCAATTTTAACGGCAGATGAAGCCGATTGCAGCACGAAATTGTGATTGAAAGTGTTATCGCTTGTAGTTAGTGTGTAGTTTTTATTTTTATTGCTGCGATATTGAGCATCACAAAGGACAATACAATCTACAACGAATCTTTTCAACTGCATGACAAATAAGAGATAAAAAAAAAAAACAATCAATCATCCAAAAATTAAGTAAAGTGAAAAACTAAGAAATTTCGGCAATGATTCTATCTGCAGTCTTGATCTCCATTAATAAAATTTTGGTCAAAATAAGTAAAATTGTTAACAAAATTATATGATCAAACAATCTAGAGTATAGAAGTGGACACACCATTGATAAATTGAATGTAAACAAGTGAATATACATGTACTACGAAAGTTAATATTAAATAATTGACATAAAGTCTCAACAGAAGGCTTTTTAATACTCTGACCTTCAGCTGCATAAGCCAGAAGTAATGAAGCTTCCAATCAAAAACTTCAAGGAAACGTTACTTTTCTTTCATATCATCTCCTAGATAACTCGGTAGGTATACAGTTTTACTTACCTGGTAATGAGTACCTACTCATGGTTTTCATTTTTTTTTATTAAATCGTGAAAAAATAAAAAGTGGTAAATATGTTAAAATTATTTGTGACTTTGTATCACGTAAAATGTTAATTTCTAAAATTACGAGTGGAAAAACAGATAAATTTTTTCAGAAAGTTGTATTTATTTCAGATCTATAACTTTGTCGTCCAACGTACTTGGGGACTGAAAAGGAATGTGGAATAAAAATAATTGGGGGTTATTTTCTCTCATGAAACATACTTGATCGTGAATTTCAGTTGGAGTGTAAAACTAAAATTATTCTTAAAATTTAATTTAAATCGAANAAAATTATATAAAATATATATTGCAATAACTTTACTATTTAAAAACAAAATTTTTCTGCCAACTTTTTTTTTAACCTTCATATTAACATGTAATAATGTTGTACAGTAACTTTCGATTACAACACGTGCAAGCATTATTGTACAAAATTTAATTATAGTCTCACTAATTGGAAGGCTTTTTCATCCTACACATCGTTAAAATTATTCACGTGTTGTACATCGCACATAAGAGAAGCAAAAATAACATTTTTGTATGTTAACCCGTAGCCCGGAAATCCACTTAATTGAATAAATATTTATTTTTGTACGCACCGAAAAAAATACCTGCGTAACCAAAGAGACTTTTTCCATTAGTCAACGGACCAAAAGAAAATAATGTGTCGAATAATTTTCCATGAGATTGAATCTCGCTCCAGTAAATACAAAAAAAATAACAAATAAATAAATCCTACTACCGCAATTGGTCAACGTTAAATCTCACGAAACGTAAAAAAAAAGCAATGATATCCAGTGGTTTTTTTATCCCCAGAGCAAAGTCCATGAGAGGACGAGGGCTAAGAAAATCGGGATTCATCCCGCGTCCTTTACAGAAAAATAACTAAATAGCCGTGGCTACTTGCCGCGTATCTTTTTTTCCCTTGCTAATAAAAGTGAAAAACTCGCGCACACGCACACACACACACACATACTCAGTGACACGTACGTACAAAGGGAATAGGGACAGATGAGCGGAGGGAAAAACTCGTTAAACAAGAAACGCCGAGCGGAGCGCTCGATGCATCCGTCCCCTGCAGTGTACACATTTGGTACACACGTAGTGTAGTGTATGCTGTGTCACCCCGGCCGAAAAAACAATGTGCTCCCGTACCTACTCTCGTATCCCCCCCTCCTTCGATATACGTGTACCGTGTACGTAAAATCCCGGATAAAGGAAATCGTGACCCTCCACTCGCTCGTGTACTCTTTACTCCTCCACCTCTTCCTCGTCCTCTTGCTTCTTGCCTGCATTCACATATACATGGTCACTCTTATGCAACATATATCCTGGATCCTGTACGTCTTGAAGAAAATCCGCGTCTTCGTTCGTTCCTCTATGTTACGCAGAGTAAAACAAACCTTTGCAATTTTTTTGTGTCTTTCATCGGCAAAATTACAATCTTTAACAGTTGTCATATCACTGTGATAATCATCGAGTCTTTGCGGTACACATTTAAGCACAATAAATTTTACCACAAAAGCAGTTTTTTTTTTAATATCGTAAAGTCAAGATTACTTCGGATAAAAAATTACTATCGAAGTAGAGACACACGATTCTTTTATACGATTCTCCTGATTCAGTTGTTGTAAAATAACAAATGTATACCTATACCTACACCCACAAAATCAAACTTCCTTTTTTTAATACTCAAAAATATAATTGAAGAGCTTGCGTAAATATTAACTATGATTTGCTTTTTTTTCAAAGCAGAAGGTGTAAGTACAATAATGGGAGAAAGTTATCTCCTACGAGAGTGATGATTGTGCTCAATGATTTGCTTTTTTTTCAATAGGACAGTTTTTTTGAACGAGCTATTTAATCAGAATTGATTGTTTGTTTTAACTTTATCGAGAAAAGTCAGCTTTTAAAAAATGTTTTTTAAAAGGGAGTATCATATTTGAATGGTATTTATTTTTCTTTATTGAAGTGATGGATAATAAAATAAGAAATTGAGTATGGATTAGTACGATACATCATTCCAAGATGTACACTCCATAGATAGATGAGTATACATGAACTGTCAAAAAAAGAGAAAATTTTTTTATGTACTTTTTAAGAAGCAGCTTTTTTAATTTTGTTGGGAAAGAGAAGCTGTTTTATTGTCACTGAAAAAATAAGCTGTATCAATCATTACAAAGAAATGTAGATAACTTGCATTTGCTGAGAAAAACCAAATATTAGTTACAAAAACATAAATATTTTAGAAGAAAAAGTAACATCATAGCATTTTCTTTTGAATAGGTAATTGCAGACAACAATTCTACGTTAATAATAAAAAAAAATTTTGTTTCGAGCTTTTAAATTAAATTGTACTTGTCCGAAATAAAAATTGAGTAATAAACATGTAATCGCATAAAAGCTTCAACTACCACATCTCATTTCAACCTCGATTTCAACACCTCAAGTCCCGATTTTCCCACCTACATGCTTGAAAAACAATCTTTCATCGCAGCACCTATCGCACTCCACATCCAAAATCGGTATATAAATATAACACTCGATCGGTCCAGTAAGCAAAATTAAAAAGCCGCAAGCGGCTCTCCCACGAGCAACACACACGCACGCAAGCAGGCATCATCCGGACAACAACAACCAAGCGCATGCTGCCAGACGGTTGGAGCGGCGCGCGCTTTGACGCTCCTCTTCTCGCGGATAGCTCGCCACGGCAGCCCCAGACCCCAGCACTCCCAGCAGTCAGTCCGGCGATAGCAGCCGGTCCGTACGGTCGGTGGGAGAGTACGGCTCTCTGCGGCTGCTGTGCGGCGCGCGGCTCCGTTATTTTTTTCTTTCTTCTTTTCTTTCCCGCTTTCATCTCGATCGCACAGCATCTCTTTCCCAATACCACGTGTGCGCGTGCCCGAGTAGATATTATTTTTATCCGTGCACGCCCAAAGATCGGTAAGAGAATCGTCGTGAAACGCTCGCCGACGCCGATGTCACGGCTGTGACTTTTGTTATTGCTTCCTTTCTCTCGGTGCTGCATCCGTGCTACTTGTCTCCTCTCTTTTGACCTATCGCTTCTTTTGAAGAATAGAGGCGGAACCAGAGGAATAGGAGCCACGCGAGGGAGCCCGCCAAATTTCGAAGCAGGAGATCCGACGCGCGTGTGTGACAGTGTGCCAGTGCGTCCCCAGAGCTTCCTTTGCGGGGCTACGAAACTATTTTTTTTTTTTTTTCACCCCCTGCTTGCGAGTGGGTCCTTTGAAGTTTGGGCTGCCGATCCGAGCCGATTCCGTGTACAGCGACTGGACCGACTTCCGTGTGGCCGGAGTCATGTGACCTCATCTGGAACTGTCCTTTCGCGAAACGAGGTAAGTTGGGGGGTGTGCGGGGGAAACTGCGTATATAACTGAAGGGGTGCTACTCAATGGGGGTTCGAGTGGAGTCTGAGTTGTTGGCTCTCCTTTGGAGTGTACTACTTGGGTCCTTGAGAGTGCACTCGAAATCGAGCCCTCGGTGGAAAAAGGAAAAGAGGGAACATTGCCCATATTACTGGACTGACTGATGAGTGTGCCTTAAAACACTTTTCGGCAACTTGACTTGTAGATTTTGTTGATTTTGTTCTAAAAATGTAAAGTCATCGTTTGGGCTGAAGTTCGTTGTATCACTCCTTGTGATATAGTACTTGACAAAACTTTTTCCAACAAGCAAAATAATTCGTTGGATTTCGAATGAGAATCAAATTCATAAGAAAAAAGTATCAAGGTATTTTTAATAAATGATTTAAAGAAAGTTTTGTAAAGAACAGGATTACAAATCGTAACAAAAATTAATTTTACCTGAGAAAAAATGGTGCATTCGGAAAAAACGTATTTTTTATAGGTTTAAAAATCTATAAAATAATTTTACCCAAGATGGAGGTCTATGATTAAAACTGTTGGAGAAAAAACTTTTCACTTCGTGGGTATATATGAAATAATCAATGAGCCAAACAGACGTATCAAATGGTGTCTGTTGTCGCTACATAAATTTCAAATTCACTTGAAAGTATACCGAGAAATTTCAATCGTTATGAGAATATCATTATGCAACGAAAATATAACAAGCGAGACGTTGTTTTATCAGCTGAAATAATTTTAGCACAGGGGGGAAAGTTATGTAATATTCGCAACGTTGTTTGCCGACTGAAAAAAAAATTAGGGGGATATGTTCGAAAACACGATGATTTAGGAAGAGAGAACTAGTTTTTTGATCGCTATCAGTTTCTCTTTTCACGTGTTGAGTGTCGAGCTAAAACTATGATTTTTTGTAGTGACACATCATTGATGTGACTCAGTTTGAAGAATAAACGTCATTTTAATGAAAAATTTATACATACATACAAGTCACAAAGAAGTCAGTAGTATTTACTTATTCATCGAAAAATAAATTTCATACGGAATACGTGTAAAACCCATGTCGATTGTACACCAATTTAAACAACTGTAGAAACAAAAATATTAAAAAAGAAAATAAAAATAAACTCATAAAAATATTTCATACCTTAATTGCCCCTGAGCTTAAGATATTGTAATGAAGACAAAGACAAAAATCGACTCGATTGCGCTTACGTCGTTTTTCAAGCGAAATTAGGGTCTGTTAAAATAGTTGGAATGTCAATAAAAATTCAATTGACTTTGCCCATCAAAGATAGGTTGTCAAAGTTCTACAAGAAGAGCAAAACAATAATTTTTGATAGAGTATAGGATAAAAAGTGCTTTTCCTTGTACCTATCAATGATCATGAAACCATTTAATTGTTAGCGAGCGAAAAACTTTTACATTGAAACACGGATGGTTTCTCCGAATCTTCATAAGACATTTCACAAAAACAACTTGTTCGGTTTTTTCAGTAAAGTAGATTATCAAATAAACATTCGGAACGTATTTTTTTTTCTTTTTCTTTTGTCATACTTCAAAGTTTCGGAGTGAAGGGAAAAAAGATCACGATTATAAAAATTTTCGCGTAAAAACATCAGCTTGTTCTTTCTTCGTCAACCTTTTTTTTTAAACGTTGAAGAAAAAAAAATGTGTCCATTATTTTTTGATAATCTACTTGACGGGCCAAATAGATTTTTTGCCTTGGAATCGACGAGTAAGATTCTCCTGTACCATCGTTTATATTATTCTTGTCTGTAAAAAAAATACTACTGAACCAATTACAACAAAAGTTATACATAATGTGGTTTTTCGTCATCTACTGTCAATATCCATTTAGTTTCCATACTAAATCGCTATATATTTTAAATTGGATAAAATTTGAATACCACATGGAATCCTTGATCGATCCATCTGGCGAAACGAGACAGATTTCAAGATGATCCGACTTATATTGTGATCGTTCCACAACCAAAGATCGGCTCGCTCGAAAAGGCAAAACAGTTGTCAGCCTACGTAACAAAACGTTGTTCCCACGCGGGCACAAGCGCCAACGCACGAGCTTCTGGGCTCTCACTTATCTTTTTTCTCCGAAACAACTATAGTCACTCACTATACAACGGAGTCGAGGGAAGCGCGGAGACAGAGGAACAAAAAAAACCTTCAAACGATTTCCTAGCTGCTCAGCAGACCACGGAAAGAAAAAAAAAAAAAAAAAAAAAAAAGACAATTCCATTGGGAAAACCCACGTGCTTGGCACATGACGAATTCACACCTGAGCTGCCGTATCTGAGATCTATACCTCCATCGCTCCAGGTATTTTTTCGAACAATGCCATCGTACCCCATGTGGCACGTTCAGGCAATGACGCATTTGCTCGTATTTTGTCAAACGAGCCCAAAAACTAATAGATACGCAACATCAGTCATTGTTCCGCATAGAACAGCAGCACGTGCCACTTTGGCAATGCGCGTAAATTTATTACAAAAGCAATAAAATAAAAAAATAATAATAAATCAAGCTTGGTGTTTAGCGACGCGTCCTTGATACACTGCGCGCTAGCCGAGTAATGACCTTAAATGCAGCTCTTCGCTGTCTTTCTCTTTTTCCCTCGTTCGCCCCCGGTGCGCTGTTTACCGTGTCTCCCTCCTTGCAAAACTCTCCTCGACGTTGTCATCGTCGTCATTAACTTCGAAAACCTGCACTCGCCGCAGGTACAATATATTATATATGCACGACCGTCAGCTTTGTGAATCGCGTTATTTCCTATACGTTTTCTCCGCATCGTATGTATACAACACCTTGTATATTTTGCCGTTTCGCCCTTACTCGCGTCCCAGTTTTCCTCAGACGCTTCCTTTTCCTGTGTGTTTGCCGGGCAAAGTCGGAAGAAGGAAAAAGATGCCTTTGAAGAGGGAAAACTAATGCCTCTGAGACCCTTGGACGCTCGCGCCGTGTCTGATCGTCGCATAAGAACTTTATACTTGTTATTTTCGAGCCGAGCACGTGTGATCGGATGATCCCAGCCGTATATGATATGGTTTTCCAAGTACACTTTGTTGCAAAAACTCAGGTGATTGATTATTTAAAAACATTCACCGATTGGTCAAGTGACAATTAATTATCTAAATAATCGTACGTTATAACTGTGTAATACAATATTAGACAAAAAATATACAAGAATAAAATCAAGCTGATCTGAAGATATCGATGTCTTAACAATAGTTCACTGATTATTTAGTACTATACTTTCCATTTACTAATAAATTATCACAAAAGCATTCTAAATAGTTAAACTAAATATCGTATGGAAATTGATTGTGCAAAACCATAACTATCATTAATATTATGTAAGATTACGCTTCATCCAGTCAAGTATCACGATATTAACATGATAATTAATGTACGCACATGGCTGTATCCATCGATACGTAATAAAAGTTAATGATGTACCTACAACGAACATAGGTATGGCAACAGTCTCGGCGAGGCTCACTCATTTTCACTACCAGCTGAAATCTGCAGACCTCTCACTCTCATTCCTTCAGGCTTCAATGACTTTTCCATTTATATATTTACGTACATACACTCTGCACTCAATGTGACTACAATGTATATTCTGTCATTGTTGAAAACTTAAATCTAAGGGAAAAACAATGTGTCTCGAGTAGTACACTTTTAAATAAAACTGTTACTCGTATCTTTGTTCTGATGCCGCTGCTGTGAGAATTATCGCATCATTAGAATTGACGTGATTTAATAAGAAACAAGAAGCATACAGAGAAGATATCTTTGTTGACACTATCAATTATTGATTTTTTTCCTCATTGTATTTAATATTTACGGAAAACCTAAAAATATTCGTTTAATTCATTGTTATTAATTTTTCAACATTTAACAGTTCAAAAACATTACTACTTGTGTGAATGTAGTTTTATGCAGTTAACATGAAGCAAAACAAGTCGTTGTAACTTTTATAAGTAATTTAATAACGTGATAGTTGGCTTTACACTTAAAATTACCTACTCATAACTCTTGCCTACATAGACAAGTTTCTACGTAGTGTACCAAGTTAGAAAATTACATGTAATTTTATACAATCTTATGTATATATTTTTGAAAATACATCCAACTTAATTGAACCTAGTTTATTAGATAATGTTAAATCTCACTGAGAATGAGCATTGCCCATAGAATCTTGGGAATACTTTTTTAATTATAAATTACAAGTATTTTCTGAAAAAACCTCAGCCCCCTCGATTCCTTCAACAACGTGTCTCGTTATAATCTCCTCGTTAATCTCCGTGACGGACCAGAAATAATGACAAATTCATCGATGCAATGGCCATACAACGTGACTCGCCTCGTTATAATTTTCACTGAAACTACCAAATAAAATTTAAAACCCAGAAAAAAAGCATTTTCAACCCAAACTCCATCAGATATTCAACCGAGCAATCCTCAAGTTGAAGTATAATCCGCAACCTCAGAACAAAAAACCATCGAAAGAGAAAAACCGCAAATCAGCAGCCTCGGTAGCGCGCGGCTTCCGAATTCTACGCCGGGCGACCGCAAAAAAGCATGTCAAGGCGCACGCGATCGACAACAATCGCAACTCTCGTTTCAGCGCCTCTCTCCCGGCAAGCATCTTTCTCTGTAAGTGAAGAAAAAAAAAAAGTTTCCGGTCGCGTATCGCGATTACGTCGCAGGCACCGATCATTTAAACTATAAGTCTCGTAACACACGGCGATATTTCGTCCATTGGAAAGTTGGAGGGGGAAAAAAAAACCAATAAATAAGCGTCCACGGCGTTTTCGCACCCACACTGTGTAATGTGATGTGCAAATGATGAAAAAAATTCGCAAGCAACGCACGCGCGACCATAGCCCGCGAGTGCAATGACAATAATCTTGTTCTCCGTTCGTTGAGCGTTGCCGTCAGCAGTTTCGGTTCGT